TTCCTGGAGACGAAGCATTGTTGTACAAACATTTTTGCACTGAAAGGGATTCTGGAAGTCCTCCAAGCAGGTTGCAATCAGTGGTTGAGGCTGTGAGGTTTGTAGAGCACGTGATGGGAGTGTCTCAGCTTGGTGCAGAGCTCTTGTCGAGGAGAGTCCTTGGTGCGGCCAAGTTTCAGGTCGCTGGGCCCCGCAGGCAGGCCTCACCTTTCACTGTCAGTGAGCTCAAGGTGCTGCATGGCATCTTGGAGTCTGACGTTGAAGATCTTTGGGACAGAGTCATGGCCGGCTCTACACTGTGTGCAGTTTACAGCAGAAGCAGGTGGAGCGACCTTCAACATTCGGAGACCATGGAAGCGGATCCGAACCCTTGGGACCCCCTTTACGTTGAGTTCACCGTGAGGGAGCACAAGACAAAGAGGGCCAATGCTTGGGTTGAAGGTTTCCTGCCTGCTGTGGCAGTTGCTCATGGTGTCACTGCAGAGAACTGGGCCAGGAAGTGGATCGTTGTGAGGTCCTCCATTGAAGGTGACATTGCAGATGGATACCCGGTCATGCCAGCGCCGGGAGCTGCAGGTGAACCCACAAAGCGCCCCATCACCTCGGACGAGATGGGAAAGTGGGTGAGGATGCTTTTGGAGAGGCATGGCATGGATCTGACTGGCAGGAAGATTTCATCGCACTCTTGCAAGAGCACCCTTCTCTCCTTTATGGCCAAGTATGGATGTGAAATCACAACGCGAGAAATTCTTGGAGGGCATGTGAGCCACCTCAAGAGCGTCCTGACCTACAGTCGTGACAGCTTAGCTGGACCGCTGCGTGAACTTGAGAAAGTGCTTCAAGCAGTTAGGAGCTGTGCATTCAATCCCGATGCATCCAGGTCGGGACGTTTCGTTGACGTGTGCAAGACGGAGGAGGTTGAAGTTGGTAGCCAGTCCAGAGCTGCTGAGGGCGCGATTGCTGCAGTTGTGACACAGTCCGGAGATGAAACAGCCGTGGCAGTGGACTCAGAATCAGACAGCTCTGAAGCCACCGACACTGACAGCTCGTCAGATGAGGAGGCCAGCAATGTTGGTCGCGTGGCGCGCATGGTCCGATGCCCAACGGCACCACCAGGGACATCCCTCATACAACACTCCAAGTCGAAGATGTTGCACCTTCTGGCTGAAGGGTACCAGAGGATTTTCTTGTGTGGACGTCAAAAGGGTGAATCACACGCCCCACCACACCAAGTCAGGTGGGACTCACCTTGCTGCTCCTTGTGCTGGAAATCGGCACGGACAAAGCTGGAATCCAGGATCGTGCAGCCTTAAAGCCGGTATGAAGCCAGACAGTTGGCGAGTGGTATAAAAAGTTTGCAGCAACCAGAGCTGTGAAGTCAATTGTATTTCAGTTGTCATTTTTCAAATTTGGTCTGTATGACCAGCAATTTGACCAAGCATGTCGGTCGTGAGCATGTCAGCATGTGAACAGCTGTATCAAGGCAGACAAACAAGCAGTCATGCCATCCTCATGTTCAGAGGACATCATGCGATGCGTTGCTCGTGGATCAACAGGCCCCATTTGGGGACACCTGGGCATTCCAGGAACTGTTTAGCATGTTCATGTAGATTGAACGAGTTATCACCTTAACTGTCTTGTCACTTGCATAGGTGAGATTTTCTTTACAATGCAGGGAACCGTTTTTTTTTGGGACTTCATATGAGGTGACATCATTTGTGCTTCTTCTTCAATGAAACAGTTTACAATCGGTTTTCCTTGACATTTAGACGCAACCTGTGTCATGGCTCTCGTTGATTCAGAGAGTGCTTTCAAAAAGCGATGTGAGCAGCTGCAGACTGGATTAGCTGACAAGGCAGAAGCGCAGAATTTGACGACTTTTTCCACGTTTGCTTTCAGTGCAGGTTCACCCCAAAACCAGGTTTCAGATGCTGAGATTGCAAAGCTTGCTGAGACAATTTATGGTACACCCACTTTGGGGGATGTAGCAACGATCAGAAGGTTGCATTTTGAGTCGTGTACGTACCTTCTGAATGACATGAAAACGAATGCCATCAATGTTGATTCGTCGGAGCCTTTGAAGAAGTTGCCATTCATAGAAAAACAGACGAGGCTCGAAGCTCAGAGGAAACGGATCACTGGTTTGCTTCACAAGCCGGATCAACAACCGGCCCATAGCTTGATTGACATGGCTTTTCACATTGTTGAAACAGGTGCTCTGACTTACATTGGGCCTTCAAAGTGTCATTCGAGGGAGATGGAAATTCAAGCTGACTCAAAACAGAGATCAAAGCAGATCATTACACTTGAACAAGGATCCTTGAGGTCGGCTTCAACGAATGTCATGGCCGATGTTGACACGTCGACGGAACTCAGATTGTTTTTTGCGCTGCAACGGCGACACCTGGCGTTTGAGATCGTACATCTTTTGTCATGGCAGCCTTGTCAGATTTGGTTGGATAAGCTGATGGGATCTCTTTTGCATGAGTCATCTGTTGCAGGCCCTGGTTTGGGCTTGACCCAAATCCTGCGTGCAGACCGCGAGATTTTTACGATCATGGCGGCGGAGTTCAGTGGGAGCCTCATCGCTGAGAAGGACAAGCCACCTCCGCTTGATGCAACTTTTGTTAGACTCATGCATGATCCAAGAGTGAATGTGCACCTCATAGCCATGCCACGGATACCTGCAAGTGTCCCAAGTGCTCAGCTGAAGGGTACGAAGCGTGAGGGTGAACATGGAGGTAACCCCAAGAACCAGCCTCCAAAGAAGCAGCGGGTAGGCGAGAGAGAGCCAGCCAAAATTCCCGAAGAGCTCAGAGGTCTCAAGCTCAAGACATCTGAGGGCAAGCCGATGTGTTGGCATTTCAACATGGCCAAAGGCTGCAACAACCAAACGAAGAATGGCAGGTGCAAGTTTGGATACCATTCGTGTATGCGTTGCCTCAAGCCCAAGCATGGAGCAGCCACATGTCATGCCAACGCGGGATCGTGACAGGACGAGCAAGTCATCACCAGTGCGCCTTACAGTGATGACTTCAACGTTGCAGCAGGCGCAAATTTTGTCAGTGCATGTAATCAGGTCGAATCAGACCTCAAAGATTTTCCAGTTTTGCCGGACTGCAAACAACAAAAGGATGTTGGATTGGTGGTCGAAATTTTTGCTGGAACTTGCAGACTCAGCAAAGCCTGTCGTAAGTTTGGTTTGAGAGCTCTACCTGTTGACAAAGATCCCAATAGGGCTGAAAGTTGCACTGTGGCTTCTTACGATCTTACGGATCGACAACAGTACGAAACCTTGGTGGAAGTTTTGACAGCCGAAAAGCAGTCACTGGTGCACGCCCATTGCGCCCCGAGTTGTGGCACAGCTTCAAGAGCCCGTGGTAGAAAGATGCCTGGGGTGCCTCTACATTTGCAGCCGAGGCCACTCCGTAGTGATGAGCTTCCAGATGGCCTTCAGGATTTGACGGAAAGGGAACAGTCGCGCGTTGACAGCGCCAATGCGTCTTACGAGGCGACGGTAGAGCTAATCTTGTTGTTGGTTGGTTGGGGGGTTTCGGTGTCAATTGAAAACCCGGCCAACTCTCTCTTCTGGAAAACGAGCTGGATCGCAAAGCTGTTGCAATTACTTCCAGGTGGACATGACACCATACTGGATCACTGCATGCATGGTGGAGCCAGAGATAAGACTACAAGGTTTTGGTCTTACAATCCCCTACGACCGGAAGAGAACATGTTGAGCTCACTGGCTTTGCGTTGCGATGGAAACCATACTCACAAATCCTGGAAACCCTCTGTCAAAGATGGCGTAGTATTTTTTCCAACAAAAGAAGAAGCTGCCTACCCCACAGTGCTGTGTGAAAGGCTGGCTTCAATTTTTCTTTACTGGGCCAAAGCCCGCAACCTAGAAGCTCCTCAAGACTTGTTGCAGCAAACGGCGGCAGATGCAGACGTGGGAAAAAGACAGTTGTTTACGGGACAACCCCGTACAAAGACTCTTTTGCAAGCGGTTTCAGAGTTTGGACATTTTGTGCAAGTTGCAGTCCCCATCAACTGCGACAATCTGCAGTCCTTAATTGCATCTCTTCCCAAAGGTGCCAAACCGACATCCCGTGTTGTGCAGCGGGGTTTTTGCAGTGCTGCCTTCAGAGCAGCACATGGAGATAGGATGGTTGTCCATCCAGATCTTCGCAATGGACAAGATTACGAAACAGTATCTGTTGGGGTGCCAAGGAACCCAACTGAGTTTATGCGGGCAGCACAACAAGTTGGACACCCCAGAGGACACCTTGTTAGAACCTCTAGCGAAGTGGAAAAAGCCATTGAAGCGAACCTCGAGTGGCCTGACCACAAACTTTTTGCGCACAGGGCCTCGATCTTCAAAAGCTGGTTGCGGAAAGCTGCAGAGCTGAGAAAGGAAGAAGCCGAGTTGCACCAGGCACTTCCAGACCACTTGAAGAAGATCCTAAGTCGCAAAAAGCTGCTCTTGTGGAAACATATTCTGGTAAGCCTTGAGTATGAAGATGCAAAAATCATGCCTGAACTCTTTGAAAAAGATGATGGCCTTATTGTGCAAGGTCTGTTGTCTTCGCTGTGCAGATGTTTTCTGCACTGCGTGTGCGCCGCGTCTCCGTAATGTAAAGGTACTCCTCTTGACTTCGCTGTCCTCGCCTCTCTACGCGTCAGCGTGTTGCTCTGCGGTTTGTTGTGTTTTTGCAAACCTCAAACAACTGCTTTTTATGAAAACACTTTGGCAGTGAATGTCTTTCAGTGCTGAGATGTGTTTCATGTTGTGACACCAAACTGTGTTCCATGTTTTTGAACAAAGTTTGTGTCTCTGTCAATTTCTATAATACTGAATCCACTTCATTTTATGTTGTGTCCGCAACATACTCTTTCAAGGTGTGGGTGGGTGGGACCTCAAATTTTTATGAGGAAACCAAATAGCATGGGGGGTCGTTGATGGATTTTCATCGCATTTGGGCTGAGTGCCCTGCTGACAGTTCTTTGAAGTTGCCTTGGGAACATGGATTCTGGAAGACAGTTTTTGAGGGTCCAACTGAGCCCAATGGTATCATGGACTGGAAAGTAGCAGAGCCTCCTCTTTTTGTCCCTTGTGCCTCCCGCGCTGAACCGGCGCCTGCCAAGAAGCTTCGTGTGTCAGAGCCTCTGTCATGGCACCACCTTGTGCGTTCAGGTGCTGAACAAACGTGGAAGGACAAACGTGAAGCTGATTTTCAAGTGGCATTACGTCGTTGGCATGATGTTTTGATTCTTTTGCCTTGCAGTATCATCGTGGTTCAACAGCTTTTGCATTTGAAGACAACTGCAGAGAGATTGCGTATGTTGAGGGATGTGTTCTGGAAGAAAGCGCCCAGCACGCTTAGGAAACGTGTGCATTCATTCTTGAGGTTCACTTCAGACTTGGAAACCCGTCGAATTGCATTTCCTGGCGCTGAAGCAGATTTTTATCATTTTTTGGATGGACTCAGAGTTGCCGGAGCCCCTGCATCTAGGATTCAGAGCATAATACAGTCTTTGCTCTTCGTGCAGCATGTTGTGGGTGTTCAGGAACTTGACTCCCTGACGTCATCCAGGCGATGTCTTGGCGTGTCAGGTTGTCGCAACACTGGGCCGAAGCGGCAGGCCGATCCCTTCAAAGTCACAGACTTGGTAGCGTTGCACAGTGTTCTTTTAGACAGCAGCAGAGACAGTTGGGATCGTTGCATGGCTGGTATGATTCTTTTAGCTGTTTACTCACGGAGTCGTTGGAATGATCTACAACAAGCTGAGTCCATGTTGTTGGATTGTGGCCCAGATGGAGTGGTCGCCTATGCTGAGCTCAAGATAGCGGATCACAAAACGAAACATTCAACTGCTTTTCGAAATTGTTTTTTGCATGCATGTGCTCCTGCTGCAGGTGTTGTCGATGACGGCTGGATCACCGTTTGGACGCAGGTCCGTGCTGAGCTTGGAATTTCATTTGAAGCTGGCCATCCAACTATGCCAGCACCTTTGGAAGACGGTGGTATCAGTATGAGGCCCCTCAGCAGTGAAGAGATGAAACAATGGACATCAATTCTTTTGCATTCAGTTCAGATTGAGACAGATGGACGTAGGTTGACGTCGCACAGTTGCAAGTGCACTTTGTCGTCATGGTGCTCGAAAAGAGGATTGCCCTGGGAGGATCGGCTAGTGCTTGGAGGTCACACCTCGGCCGTGCGCTCAGCCTTGGTGTACGCTCGTGATGGCCTTGGCCGTCCATTGCGCATGCTCGAGAAGCTGCTCTTGGAGGTGCGGCTGGGGCGTTTCTTGCCTGACGCCACGAGGAGTGGAAGATTTCCTGGGCCTTTTGCTACAGCACCAGATTTTGACGATGGGGCTCACAGTGAATTTTCGTATGCTCCAAGTCTTGGTTTTGGAGACCCGGTTGATGACACAGCCAACAGCACCTTTCATGATGGCTGGCTGAAACCTGTGGAGCCATGTGACAAGAGTTCAGAAGGTCCCCATGCAGCTCTTGAATGCAAGGTTGAGGCCTCTGGATCCGTTTGGGAACTGGCCGATAGCAGCGAGGTGATTGACTTGGACACTTGCTCAGAGGACAGTGGATGTTCAGTTGCCACCACCTCGTCCAGCTCGGATGAGGAAGCCGCTGAGCTCAGCAGTGCCAGACGGCCAGTGCATCCGCCGAAAGTGCCAGACCAGTTGAAACTCTTGCAGCACAAGAAACTCAAAACGTTGCACCTCATGGAACTGCAGAATCAAAGGATCATGCTTTGCGGAAGGGTGGCTGAGCCCAGCCGTTACGAGAGCGTGCAGGAGACAAGATTCGACACTCCGTGTTGCCACACTTGTTGGCGAAAGATGCCGGAGTATGCTTGAGGTCGTGCCCATTGCTGACAAAAAAAATAGCATGGACACTTGAGTGATTCAGTCATGCAGTTGTAGGCTTTTGCGGTTTTTCAGATGTCAGTTCACTTGCCAATGTTCTTGGTGCATCATGTGAACTTCAATTTTGAAATCTGGTAATGTCAGAAGATTCTCAACGGTTTCAAATCAGATGCAACACGTCATGACCTCAGCATGAGTGACTTACTCAGGTATGAGAATCATGTCACTGCATGCATCAAAGAGTTCATTTGCGACCTGTGTTGTTTACTTGCTGCACCAGTGAAATCCAGGGTAATCCGTCAAATTTCCGTTTGACCACCCTGCACTTGGATTCAGCGGCCAATCCATGGCAAGTCACTACATGTGCGTCCTGGGCTCAATCATCCACCAAGCAGATGGTGGGAAACATGATACAGAAGCGTCCATTTTCAAACGAAACTGTTGAGAACATAATTTTTGCAAAATACATCGGTTTCAGGACAAATTTCCGAATGCAACCTTTTCTGAGTGAAGGCCCTGAACCTTCAGGCACGTACTATGTGAGCCCAACAAGGCTTTTGCAATCACATGTATAGATGTCGATGTTTCGCCAACTTACAAGATTTCCGATGCAATTCTTTTGACAAGATTTTTTACACGTTGACGTGTTGCAAGTCATAAGTAAGACTGCTTTCCCATAGTGACTGTGCGAATCCTTAAGGGACTTGCCGTGCTGCCATGTCACTGATAGACTCAGAGGCCGCTTTTCAAAAGCGATGTGATGAGTTGTTGGATGGGCTTCATGACTGGTTCAGTAACTTGCAGATCACAACGTTTTCGAGCTTGGCATTCACAGTTGGAACACCGCAACAACCAGTTTCGGAACATGACATGCAAAGATTTGCTGATCGAGTTGTTCAGGGTCCTGCATCCATTGCCGAGGTGTCAATTGTTAGACGCATTCACTTTGAGGCACAGACATTGGTGATGTCAGATATCCGGAAGCAGGCAGTGGCTGGTGACACTTCAGAACCATCGAAGTCCTTGCCTTACGTTGAGAAGAGGCGTCGGCTTGAGGCGCAACAGGCTAGGATCACTGGCCTTTCACACATGCATGAACAGAGGGCATCGCATGGCCTTATTGACCTGTGTTTTCACATTGTTGAGTCGGGAGCCCTTTTGTATGTGGCGCCGTCCAAGTGCAGTTCCAGGGATTCAGAGATCCAAGCCGATGCCAAAACCAGACAGAAACAATTGTTGACTCTTGAACAAGGGACATTGAAGGCTGTGTCGGCTGAGTCCTTGCCGACCGTTGACGTTGGCACTGAAATGAAATTGATGTACGCACTGCAGCGTCGTGGATTGGCATTTGATCTTGTGGGATTGATGTCATTTGATGCGCATTCGGAATGGGTGAACAAACTCTTCAGGGCACTCATGGCTGATACCCCAGCTCATTTTCAGGCGCTTAGCTTGCAACACATCATTCGTGCAGACCAGGAGATGTTCCTTTTGCTTGCTTCAGAATATGATGGGCCCCTCAAGTCACCGACGTTAGATGGGGAGCCTCCGTTGGATGCACAGCTTCGTGTTTACATGACAGATCCAAGGGTCAACATGTACTTGGTTCCAGCTCCACTCAGTCAGAAGCGTCCAGCGCCTGCAGCCAGTGGTGGTGACAAGCAGCCACAACCTCCAGCAAAGAAACCGCGTCAAGGATCCAAGACGCCTGCCCAGTTGCCAGCTGAGTTGTCAGGCCTCCACACAAAGACATCAGACAACAAACCATTGTGTTGGAATTTCAATTTGAACAAGGGATGTGCAAATGCAACCAAGAGAGGACGCTGTCGTTTTGGTTTTCATTCATGCATGAAATGTCTGAAGGGTGGACATGGGGCACACAAGTGCCACAGCAGTTGACAGGAAGAAAAACCAGCAACACAGCTTGATGGCAGTAAAACAGGAACACCTGTGGCCGCAGGGATCTCAGTGACTCCAGTGGATCGAGTTGTGAACGTTGGAACTTCTGTGAATGAAATTGCGGCTGAAACGTTGCAACCTTGCAGTGTCAATTCAAGATGCATCATCTTAGAAATTTTTGCTGGCAGTGCTCGTCTTTCCAAGGCTTGTAGGAAACTTGGATTTGAGGCTGTAGCTGTAGACCAAACGAAGGATCGGTCTGAGCAGTTTCCTATTTTTCAAATTGATGTGACAGACTCCCAAAGCTTGCATGACTTGGAGAGTTTCATCGATGTAGAGAAAGATGCAATTTTACACGCGCATTTTGCGCCATCATGCGGAACAGCGTCTCGAGCCAGGGGACGGCCAATACCTGGCGAACATCCCAAAGCTGGGCCTCAACCACTTCGGTCCGAAGTCTTTCCTGACGGCTTGCCTGATCTGAGCAGTCATGATCAAGCACGGGTAGACAAGGCCAACCGCAGCTATAGTGCGACCGTGCGCTTAATCAGCAAGCTGATTGCCCATGGCATATCTGTCAGCATCGAAAATCCCAAAAACTCATTTTTCTGGAAATTTTCAGACGTTGCAAGGCTTTTGGAAACGTTTGGTGCTCGACATTTTTCAGTTTTTCACCATTGCATGCATGGCGGCAAGCGTGACAAACAGACCGCGTGGTGGAGTTGGAATCCGCGAGATGCCGAAAAAGACATGTTTCAATCGCTTGCATTGCAATGTGATGGACAACACAAACATGAGCCGTGGCGGCCTTACAAAGATGTCCACGGCCGGACGGTTTTCCCTACAAGTGAAGAAGCTGCATACCCGCAGTTGCTGTGTGACCGCGTTGCATGCATTCTCAAGGATGAGGCTCTTCGTTGTGGCTTCGTTTTTTCAGATGACTTGCACCAACAAATTCTGGAAGTGCCTAATGTTGCCACCAGGCAGCTTTTTACAACGCAACCCAAAGGGCAAAAATTGAGACCACTGGTATCCGAATACGGCAAATACATTGCCCTTCTTGCGTCAGCAACAAACGAATCAGAGGTACAGAGTTTTTTGCATAAGCTGCCCAAAGGAGCCAAAGTTTGTCATCGTATTCTGTTTCCTGGGGGTGTTGCTCGAGATGACATGGAGCACAAATATGAGGAGGTTTTCCAAACTGAGTCATGGGAAGCCGGTGAACCATGTGAACTCTTGCAGGTGGGTATCCCTCGTGAACCGGCTGACTTCATACGTGATGCGGTGCGAAAAGGTCATCCGAGAGATATCATTGCGCAGGTGCCCCAAGAGATTAAGACTGTTGTGCATAGCATGCTGAATGGTGATATGCTGGGGCGCTTCAAGTTGAGGGCCTCCTTTTTGAAGAAATGGCTCAGGCGGTCACTTGAGTTAAAGAATGAGGAGCAGGCCTTGCACCAAAAACTGCCCCAGCACTTGCAGCGCATTCTCGAGGGAAAGCGCCTCCTTCTTTGGCGTGAAATCTTGGTGGATCTGGATTACCCAGATGTGGCAGTGATTGATGACATTTGCAGTGGCTTCAAGCTTACGGGGTGGGCCCCGTCTACAGGTGTTTTCAGGCCGGACGTCAGAAGACCGTCCCTTGGGGTGCAACAGTTGATCAACATGTCGAAAGGCTTGAATGCCTCAGTTGTCAATTCTCTCCAGGGCGCGGATGAATCCGAGCACGATCAGCTTGTGTGGGATGAGACTATGATGGAAGTAGAGAAAGGTTGGCTGGCTCCTAGCTCTATGGAAGGAGAGTGTTTTGTGGCCAAGCGTTTTCCAGTACCTCAGAAGGAAAAGGTGCGACTTGTGGACGACTTCACGATATGTGGCGTGAATGGTGCCTACGGTTTGAGAGAAAAGCTCCGTGTCCAAGCCGTGGACGAGCTATGTGCTTACTTGGCATTCATGTTGGATCAGGCCCCAAGTGGATGCCTCCCCAAACTCACTGGCCGCACTTACGATTTGAAGTCGGCCTACAAGCAGTTCGGTGTGAACCAGTGGCATGCAGACAGACTCAAGATTGCGGTCAAGCGACCTGGTGGAGGGGTTGGCATTTTTGCCGCCCTGGCATTACCCTTTGGTGCCTCCGGCTCAGTGAGTTCATTCTTGCGTGTGGCGGCCAGCCTGACATACATAGGAGTGGTTGCTCTCCAAGTCTTGTGGACAAGCTTTTTCGACGATTACACTTGTGTTTGCGTGGAGGGTGAAGAGACGAACGTGTCTTTTTATGTTGAATCCCTCTTTCGCCTTTTGGGAGTGTGGTTTGCGGAGACTGGCTCAAAGGCAACTTCCTTTGGGCCCTCCTTCAAGTCACTTGGAGTAATCTTTGACGTTGGGGCCATTCATGACGGCACCTTCGCACTACAGCATACCGAGAGCAGGAAGTCCGAGCTGATGCAGATTCTTGACAATCTGATAGGTGCGCAGAGGTCGACGCCCAAAGAACTTGAGAGGCTCCATGGAAGGCTGATCTGGTTTAGTGCGTTTGTCTTCGGCAGAACGATGAATCAACTTGTCAAAGCCATCTCGCTTGAGTCTTTACAGAAAAAGAAGGTGATCACCTTCACCCCAGATTTTCTTCAGACCTGGATGGACTTGAAGCATGCGATAGGGTCCTCTAAGCCTGTGGTGATTTCTAAAACTCTTTGCACCACTTGGTACGTCTTTACTGACGGCGCATATGAGCCCGATTCAGATGTGCTTGCCAGCATTGGTGCAGTCTTGATTTCACCGACAGGTACTCCAGTTCAGTGCTTTGGAGAGGTCGTCCCTAAGACCTTCGTGGACGAGCTGTTACAGCATTCTTCTCATCCTATCTACGAGCTGGAAGTGCTTCCGGTAGTCATGGCCACGCGCCTGTGGATGAAGTATCTCACAGGGTGCCCCACAGTATACTTCCTTGACAACGTTGCGGCCAGAGCAACGTATATCAAAGGTGTTGGCGCTACGCCTCCTTCCATTCCTTTGCTCAAAGACTTTGTCCGTTTAGAGGCTAGGTTGAAGATTTATTCGTGGTTCGGTCGAGTGCCGAGTCATTCGAACGTAGCGGATTCTCCAAGCCGGCTTGTCTTTGATGACCCAGTCCTGTCGGGCTGTCCTCGAGTGCGGATCGTGCTTCCAACTCACGTTCATGAAATTGGGGATGGCTCAGGGTGAGTTGGGAAGCCATTCCAACCCAAAACAACCTGGTCGATCGTTCCCCACAGCATGGTGAAAAAAGGATGCGTTGTCCGAGTGAATTCGAGGGTTCTTCGTTTCATCCATTGTACATGTCATCAGTGAAACGTTTTTTGTCACACATGACTGTTTGCGTGGTTACATGTTGTTTTGCATGATTCATTTGGCGATGCGATACGAAGCGACGAGGCGTTTGTTTTTATTTTTTGTTTATACCTTTTTTATCCACACGACGGTGGTGTTGATCAAGGTATTACTTTATGTTGAGGGGTACTTGGGGCGCGGCGCTTTAAACTGACCTGTAATAATAAGCCTGAACTCTTTGAAAAAGATGATGGCCTTATTGTGCAAGGTCTGTTGTCTTCGCTGTGCAGATGTTTTCTGCACTGCGTGTGCGCCGCGTCTCCGTAATGTAAAGGTACTCCTCTTGACTTCGCTGTCCTCGCCTCTCTACGCGTCAGCGTGTTGCTCTGCGGTTTGTTGTGTTTTTGCAAACCTCAAACAACTGTTTTTTATGAAAACACTTTGGCAGTGAATGTCTTTCAGTGCTGAGATGTGTTTCATGTTGTGACACCAAACTGTGTTCCATGTTTTTGAACAAAGTTTGTGTCTCTGTCAATTTCTATAATACTGAATCCACTTCATTTTATGTTGTGTCCGCAACATACTCTTTCAAGGTGTGGGTGGGTGGGACCTCAAATTTTTATGAGGAAACCAAATACCCACCCTTGTTTTCCCACCCGGTTTCCTCCGGTCTGTCTGACCTTTGTCTCATTCGGTCCGTTTGACCACACTACTTTTTTGCCTCGAGTTGGAAAGCCATTCCAACCCAAAACAACCTGGTCGATCGTTCCCCACAGCATGGTGCAAAAAGGATGCGTTGTCCGAGTGAATTCGAGGGTTCTTCGTTTCATCCATTGTACATGTCATCAGTGAAACGTTTTTTGTCACACATGACTGTTTGCGTGGTTACATGTTGTTTTGCATGATTCATTTGGCGATGCGATACGAAGCGACGAGGCGTTTGTTTTTATTTTTTGTTTATACCTTTTTTATCCACACGACGGTGGTGTTGATCAAGGTATTACTTTATGTTGAGGGGTACTTGGGGCACGGCGCTTTAAACTGACCTGTAATAATAATGATGAGATCATAGATGGTTTCTCTTTGACTGGATGGGCAAGCGAGAGTGGAGTTTTTGACAAGCGTGTCAGAGCAGCAACCATGACGGTTGATCAGTTGAGTGGAGTGGCAATGGGGCTGAATGCTTCAGTAGTTGGAAACCTGAAGAAAGGACCTTGGACGGAGCTGGACCGTGATGCACTTGCAGAGACGGCCGCAGAAGTGGACAAAGGTTGGTTGTCAGAATGCCCTGAAATAGATATGAAGAGACACTTCATAGCAAAACGCTTCCCGATCAAGCAAAGGAACAAGATGAGGTTGATAGACGACTTCTCAATCTGTGGGGTGAACTCTACGGTCGGCCTGCCGGAGAGGTTGAGAGTTGAATCTGTCGACCAGATTGTTGCAATTCTCCTAGCCATGTTGCAGTCTGGCCGCGCAGTCGAAAAGCTGCCACTCACCGGAAGGACCTTCGACTTGAAGGCGGCTTACAAGCAATTCGGAGTAAATGTTGAGGAAGCCAACAGGCTGAAGATAGCGATCAGAGCTGGGCCAGACGAGGTCAAGTACTACAATGTTCTTGCCCTGCCTTTCGGTGCCACGGGCAGTGTGGTTGCTTTCTTGCGAGTGGCGGCAGCCCTAGCCTTCATAGGCACCAAGAGTCTCCTTCTTTGCTGGTCAAGTTTCTTTGATGGTTTCACAGCAGTTGCACCTGAAAGACTTGCGGAAAACACGCAGTTCTATGTTGAGGCCCTTTTCAGGCTTCTTGGAATTGACTATGCTTCTGAGGGCGAAAAAGCGCCTCCCTTCGGGAAAGTTTTCAGGTCCTTGGGATTGCAGTTTGACTTGAATAGAGCCGATGCAGGATCCTTTGCCTTGGGTCACACGGCGACAAGGAGGAACGAGTTGCTGGAGCATATCGGCGCTATGCTGTCAGACGAAACTGGTTTAGCTGGTACGAAAGAACTTGAGCGTTTGCATGGCAGGTTGGTTTGGTTTAACTCCTTTGTTTTTGGACGCACTCTGAAAGCAGCCGTGGCCATTGTTTCGAAATGCAGCAGAGCAAACTCGGCCCAAGTGAAGGTGGAGGGCGCCTTGAAAGATGCATTGACTGTCTTGCAGCACGAACTGGCCAAAGACGAGCCTTTGGTCATAACTGAAGCCACAACAAGAACCTGGACCATATACACAGATGGTGCTTATGAGCCGGATGGAACCATCAAGGCGTCAATTGGTGCAGTGCTAGTCGACGAAGATGGCCTGGTGATCGAGTGCTTTGGGATTGAGCTTCAGGAGAGCCTTAGAGAGGAGTTCCTGGAGGACAGCAGACATCCTATCTACGAACTTGAAGTTTTCCCTGTACTCGTGGCCTTGCGCATTTGGCAGCAAAGGCTAAAAAACTGCCAGGTCGTCTTCTACCTGGATAACGATGCGGCCAGAAGCGGGCTGATAAGGGCTGATGGGTCCACTCGCCTTGCAAGAGCCATGATTGGTCAGTTTGTAAGCTTGGAAAAAACTCTCCGCATCTTGCCCTGGTTTGCTAGGGTACCTAGCACCAGCAATCCTGCAGATGACGCCTCCAGGTTAAATTTCCAAACTCCTTGGCTACTTGGCGTTCCACGTCCAGCCATTGTCTTGCCAGCTCATTTGTCACAGTGGGGTTTTCTCTAAGAGCTGCAAACCAAATGGCAGCGGTATGGAGAATGAAGCTTGGGTGTCAAACAGCTGGAAGCACTTACCAGCAACCATGACCATATGCTTGTTCTTGAAAAAATGTCGGATACCTTTCCGATTTCAGACTTGCCCCACGTGATCGTGAGCAATCATGCAGAAAAAAATGGCCGCATCGTTTTCATCAACCCTTCACTGAAGTTGTGACAGTTGTTTACATGTCCAGTCAGAGTTGCAGATGTTTTTCAATTTTCATTGCGATATTTTTCGAAGGCGGTCAGAATGTATGTCAGTACGCCGTATCGCGTATACGCTGGTTATATATAACCTTGTTCCTCGCGTATGCGTTCTCAACACTCCTTTGTCTCCCTCTTCTCCAACCCTTGTTTGCTTGCTTCCACGTCCATTGCCCCCCAAAAATAAGCACGTCCTCTTTGGTACAAAGATGATAGCATTATTGTTGGGGTGCAATGGTGTTTTGCATGTATTGCAAAACAAGTGGAACTGCTGTGACAACCGGGTTGGTTTCTGAAGAGGTAGGTGGAACCCAAACAAGTTTACTTGTGATTCCAAATGAATTGGGTCAACTAGATGATAGTTGAACCTATTGTTTTTGTAAATATGCAGAGGTTGCATGTCAACTTGGGTAAGTACGATATCCTACTGTTTGTTTTAAAGACGGTGCCTTAAACACAAGGTCACTTTATCAGGAATCGAACTGTGAATTCTCTCATGTGCTTCACACTGAAAGAATCATCACGTTTGTTATTATTTTATTTTTGGGTTCGAGTCGTCAACTGTTTTCATTCAGTGTCACTTGAAAACAAATCTCAATTTCATTATTTGAGAAACCTCAAGTGATTTATTTGCTCCGCTGTTCTTTCAAGTGGAACAAAGTATCCACTTCCTAACAGGGAAGCCACTTTTGTTGACCCGCCCAAAAAACCATGTTTTTTCTCCCTCCCTTGGGGTTTTCTCTAAGAGCTGCAAACCAAATGGCAGCGGTATGGAGAATGAAGCTTGGGTGTCAAACAGCTGGAAGCACTTACCAGCAACCATGACCATATGCTTGTTCTTGAAAAAATGTCGGATACCTTTCCGATTTCAGACTTGCCCCACGTGATCGTGAGCAATCATGCAGAAAAAAATGGCCGCATCGTTTTCATCAACCCTTCACTGAAGTTGTGACAGTTGTTTACATGTCCAGTCAGAGTTGCAGATGTTTTTCAATTTTCATTGCGATATTTTTCGAAGGCGGTCAGAATGTATGTCAGCACGCCGTATCGCGTATACGCTGGTTATATATAACCTTGTTCCTCGCGTATGCGTTCTCAACACTCCTTTGTCTCCCTCTTCTCCAACCCTTGTTTGCTTGCTTCCACGTCCATTGCCCCCCAAAAATAAGGCCGTAGAGGTCTTGGCTCCAATCATGAGCCAGCGTGCAGCCATGAAAAGGAAGAGCTATTGCTTGGTTCACCAAAGGCAATGTTTTCTGAGGACTGCTCGCCAGCAGACGGCTGGGAGCTCGTGCACCGCGCACTCGAGGCAAGGAAAACAGCTCGGCTTAGCCGACGCCAATGTTCTAAGCTTATTAGCGTGGGTCGGACTGCGCTTGGAGGTCGGTGAGAGTGAGGCTACGCTGGAAAACGTTGACCAATTCCCAACAGAAACTTTGCAACGCCTTCTTGGATCTCAGTACTTCATAGAGCCCTGCAGAATGGACCCCAGGATGTTTGGGTTGCTCGTTTTGCATTTGCAATGATTGTTTGCCGCCTTCATTTGTTTTTTCTTTGAGTGGCTGCTCGTGAGTTTACACGGGTCATAACAAAGTTGACCCATACGGCTTTTTTCCAAACATCCCAGGATGCCAGTTGCGAGAGAGCGAAAATACCACAGGCTCTTGCACAAACAGGCCGCTTTGATGCAGATCAGCCCTTTGGCCAGGTTCAGCACAAGGTTCCACAGGGCCGTCCAGTGGTCGTGGAGAGAGATGCTGACGCAGCACATGTTTGAGGACGGTGTGATGACCAACGAGTACATGCAGGAATTGCAATGGGCAAGGTCCAGAAAACTAAGCATGCACCATGCGTTTGCTCCTTCCGAATCCCAGAGCCAGGAGGATGAAGATGCAACCAACAAGGCTTTGAGCGAAGTGATTGCGCACTACGGGCTTGAGCGAGTGTCAGCTGCCAAGGCGGGGAAGAGAAGCGTCAGACTGTGGGCGGTTTTTTTTGAATCATTGATCAAGAGTTGCGGATTAAAAGTGCAGGTGGCGAAAGCAAGGTGTTGTGAGACAGGTTCTGAGAGCAGATGCGCTGCAGCTGTAGCTGACATGATGACTTCCAGAAAATAGAACCAGAAGCCAAGCGCAGGCCGGTCTAGTCCTTTTAGCCCCCATATGCCACTATGGTGAGGACATCATCATGGAGATGGGAGGCCCTGCGCGACAACCATTTTTGGCAGCTCTCAACGTCAGCGAGATTGAGATGAGGCAGATGTATCTAGCTTCTTGCCCAAACCAAGCGTGGCAACTTAATCAAAGCCCGAAAGCTGGCCATGGGATGAACTCCACTGACTTCTGGCTCCACACCTTTATACGCAACATGGGCCTGACGCTGGGCTTCTTCATAGCCGCGGGTCAAATCATTTTTGTTTATGCTTTGCAGTGGGAGACAAGGTCTGCATACTTTCTATGATCTGGCACGGTTTGATCAGGACTGGTTTCATTTGGCACGGACTGATGTGATTTCTGACGTGTGATGTTCTCTATGTATTTGCCAGGGTCGGTTGCAGTAGCCTCAGGATTTGGGTTGACAGAGCTCATCAGCCTGCGGCAGCCTTGGGAAAGGACAGCTACCTTTCAACAGCTCCGTACCTTACTGAGAGGGCTTGTTCGAGGTGGCTGCTACCCACAGAATGCTTGCTGGGGCAGTCCTTCCCTGTGCACCCAATCCTCCATGCTGATTGGAAGATCTCTTGCTACAATTTCAAGCGACCGGATCGAAAGGCTAGACAAGTTTGTGCGCAGGCAGGCAACAGCATGAACGTTGTTTGCCCGTTTATCTGCGCCTTGCACTCTGCAGTATGCTGGCAGCCGTCAGCTGAAACGGACAGGACAGCTAGTCTGCAGACTTTGTTTACAACTTGCATGTTTACTGTTTTGTTTTTATATGTTTTTATGTTTTTTTCCTCCTTGGGATTCTTTTCATTCACTTACCGCCGCTCTTGCCTATTGTTGAGTCCAATGTTCCCAGCAGTGTATCTTTCTTTCCTTCCTTGCGAAGGATTGTGGCAGAGATCTCGCTATTCCGCAGTGCCAGCATTCAAATGCAGCAGTCGCAATCAAGCAAGGCTGCAGACAGTGCGGCTGACAGGCATGCTGACCACGGCCAGAAGAAGGTAGTCAAAAGGAGAAGGCGGTATAAATCCGCTCCCAGTGAAGAAGCTCAGGACATTTCCTGAAGGGTAAGCGAACTTGTCAATTGATCTGTCTGCGAACATCGGCATTTTGCCCCAGACGATCCAATGCGAAGGAAATGCACACAGGTTTGGCTGTTGTGCGGTTGGTTGCACCTAACACACCTGACACACAAAATACGTGTGCTGCTGCAAGCTCAGCATGATTGAGGATTTTGGTGATTTTGGTGACCTGTGTTTTCAGCTGCTTGCAAGATCCATGTAATTGGCCATGGAAAGGCCGCTGGAAGGGTGATGCAGGTTCTGTTTTCCTTTCCCATGTGAAATGTATGTATTTGGAATTGAGCTGAGCGGGCAGCAGCGTGCTCGGTACAGTCAGTGCAGTGCCGGCAAGATGCCATATGCACTGTGGAGGTTTCACTGTCTCTGCGCATAGCGCAAGCCACTTTTCTTGAAAGCTGAACAAACCAAGCTCTCCACAAGTGGCAAACATGGCCGCGGTTCAAGAATGCAATTCAATTCAAGTCACCTCCTTTTTTTCTTTAAACAACGGCTGTCAGCAGTAGCTGCGTTCCCTGTGTTTGTGACGTATCATGTTGTTACCAGTGGGACAGGAGATGCTCCTTTCTCTTCCATGCTAGCAGCTTTATAGCAGGTGGCAAAGCTGGTGCTGCTCAGGTCTTGCTTTGGCCACTGCAGAATTCAATATGTGCGGGGCTCATTGACTCAATGGACCAATTGGGTGTGTTGTGGCACGTCTCAATTCACACACAAGATAGGCCTAGCGGTTTTGCTGAAGTTTCGTTTGTGTAGACGCAGAGCTCCATGGGTGTGGACATCATGACAAAAGAGCACCACTGTTTGAACAGCGTGAAGAACCCATGTCAGTTTATGTTTTTTCCGATCCATTTGCTCACACAGAGACAATAAGCCCATGTCCCATATCCCATGTCTGCTCAAGCCCAAGAGTTTGTTTACCTTGCTTTTCCAAGCGGGTGAGCAGCCACGCCAGAGGAGTCCTAGTTTCTGATTTGCTAAGCCAGATCGGGTGGACCTCGCGACCAACTTTGTCCCTTCCTTAAGTGCCTCCTGGGGTGAGTGGCCACAGCCCACACATGCCGGCGCCTTCCAAGAGCGCAGCATCCAGAACCCTGAAGGGAGTTCCTAGCGACGCAAGCAGCCCCAGTGCTGCTGCCGCCAGAGGCCAGAAACGCCAAAAGCGTGCCGGTGCCAATCCACCAGTCACACAGGATCCAGCACATGTGTGGGAGAATGACTTGAATATTGAGGAAGTCTTTGCTGATGCGACTGGCGCGGCCCGCATCGAGAAGATCTTCCAAATTTTTGGTGACCCGAAAGACGAATATGTTGACGTCCCGTGGTTCCAGCAGGATTCACGCCCGACTTTGATTTCAGACCAGCTGAATCGCCCGCTTCAACAAAGCACCGTTCGGGACTACGAACGCCGCATCTTCGAATCAGGATTGGCTGTGGATTGCAGTGGATGCTTGCCGGATAAGGATTTTTTGCTTTTCTATGTAGATGCGTGCAGGCACGGGACTTGATAGGTCTGGTGTGATTCGAGACTTTCCTTTGGTCCATTACAAGTAACATCAGTAATGAATGTGGTGTTGGAACTGTGTTGGGAAATTGTGAACAAGAAGCAAGTTAGACCTGTCAAAGGCTTGTTTTCAAAATTACGGGGCACATGTGGGGAGCATTGGCGCGATGCCCTTAAGTGTTTGCATAAAGGTATGTCAGCTTAGGATTTTGCTTTAGAGATTCTGGCTTCAAACCTTCGGGCCCATCAGTCAGTTTTGAAGTTAAGGACTGCCTTGGCTTCGGTGGTCTAATGGACCGCGTCAACAGAATTACCCACTGCTGGCCTTGTCCTTCAATCACAGACGCGAAGCATTTTACAATGCTTTTGAGAAAGATCCGAACCATCCAATGGTTCAGCAAAGTCTCAAGCAAGGGCTCCGGCGCTGCAGAATCTTGCACAAGGCCACCCCCAACTACATTGTGAATTGGCTTTGCAGCGAACACAACAAGCATCACTCAGGGTCTGGTGAGACGGCACTGGGTGTCATGGCAGAAGCAATGAAAGTGGAGGCTGCGTGGAAAAGGAAGTGCGCAGCCGATGCCATTACAACTCATCATGAGAATTACCAAAAGATGTACGATGCTTTTGTCCGGCGTGAGTCAGAACTTTTTGCAGACTCTGTGCAGTATTTCAGTGAAGCAAAGGCGCTGGCTCGCACTCTTGAGTCGTATGATGCGCAAGCAGCTTTCCAAGAATGGTACCTGGCCCATGGTGATTTCTTGAATTCTTCCACTACTCCTTTCGTATGCATCTCGGCGATGAACCAAATGGCCGTCCTCATCGTCAAGTGCATGAGGAATTTCCACAGCAAGTCGGATCTGAAGGTGGTTCTCATTGAAGCTTTGAAATTCTGCGCGCCTTGGCTCGAACGGCAAACGTGGGCACAGGGCAAAGGGAAATGGGATCAACACCGCCAGCCCCACACCTTGGTATTTTGAGCGTTTTGTTTTCCAAGTGTGTTTGCAATTTGTTGCAGGTGCCATCGATTGGGACTGGAGCTCACCGGCAGATTCCATCGCCTTTCTTGGCTCCTGCTGCACGTGCAGCCATGGCCAATGTGACCATTCCAATGGGAGAGTCCGTCACCTTCAAAAGGCTGCTGAAGAAGAAGGTTGGGGATTGATGGGCCGTGTGTGTGTGTGCGCGTGTTGTCGTGTGAGTTGGCATTCCTGTGTGTGTGTGTGTGCGTCCTGGGTTTTTGAGCCGAGGGCGGGATCAGTGAAATATGATCAACTTGTAGTGAAGCATTGAAAGCTGGACTCAGACGGACAGTTGCACTTTTCATGATTCATGCGAGCCCACACATTGCACACAGACGAATGAACTTGTGCTGGCGTCTGGCACTTGCACCTTTGTTTCAAGTCTTGTTCTCCAGTTGGCTTGCCTTGTTTTGTTTAACCCTTGTTCCATCCGCACAGGAGCAAAAAGCAGAAGACGAAGCCATCAAGAGAAAGCTCACCACCGGCGCTTCCATTGGCAATGGCGACGGGGAGGAGTTTGAGGAGAACACTGCTGAGCAGAAGGGCGAAGAGCAATCTCAGGATGACGGTGGAGAAGGCTCATCAGATGACCATGGAGTCCATGGAGCTGCTGCCTCTATGTGTGGCAAGCCCAATGTAGATGCGGCCATCAACGCACTCAAGGCCGACAAAGAGAAAGAAAGGTCCAGAAAGGTTCTCAAGCAGATTACCAAGGACAAGAACAAGAACAAGAAACCCAAGTCAGCCGCTGCTGTAGCAAAGGAAAGAGCGCAGCAAGAAGCGAAACCAACCTTAGAACTCGACGAGTGTGACGACTTCAAGCCAACGATTTCCAACAGGTCATCGCCGCAAGACTCTAGAGTGAAGACGGCCCTTGACGACTTCCTTTGTTCCATCCGCTTTGCCCGCATGAACCTTCCTGTGAAGATTCCAGACGATGAAGCTTCGCGTAGCAAGCATTTCCTGGTCTCGCTCTTCCTCGAACTTGCTTGGACCTCCTCGGTGGCTGTGAACGGCAAGATCTTCAAGACATATTCCTCTTTCAGGGACGAGTGCCAGAAGGTTTTCGTCGCTGCGCATCAACGGATTCAGATCGGTAAGGAAAGCTTTGACCCATTGCACTTGGCCAAGAACCTCATGTCGATGGTGAACACGCCCGCATCTCACCTGCAGCGGGTTTAGACAGGGGCGTTTCCTGCGTCAAGGGCGTCGTTTTTTGTCACTAAATTTCACATGCGCTGATCAATGATCAAGTCATTAGAATAGAAGCACTGCATGGACTGATATTTTCAACTGTGCCACCACTTTGGTCCAGACATTCTGTAGAGGCGCGGCAACAGGCCCGCAACTCATAAAATGTCGCTTGTAACTCTTAAACCCAGATTTTGTTTAGTCTCCTTGGGCTCTGGGGTAGTGAGGTGGCGTTGGATGCCACTGATGGTGGAGATGAAGAGGGCATGCTGAGCTTCATCAAGAATTTTGACGCTGTGGCCGATGTGCGAGCGTTCCTCGAGGGCCAGCTGCATCTGCCTCCGTCAATGCATGACCAGTTTGCAATCTTTCGCAAGGCATTGGGAACCAGGTTCAAGCAGTTTGGTGACTTGAAGACTTTCCGAGATCAGCTCGCCTACTTCTTTGAAGTTTTCTCCGAAGCAAAGGTGATCCCTGCAAACTGGGTCGTTTTTGCTACGAGCACGGCGTTCTTGTACAAGGCAGCTGGCAAGTTTGTTGAGGAGACTGGCAAGCTCTTTCAGTCTGAAGAACAGTTGGGTCACTTTTGCAGCATGCGCGCCAAGTACATTCTTATGGGCTTGAAAGATCTTGTGCAAATGAAGCAAATGAAGTGCAGCGACGACAGCCAGAAGTCCATCGTCCTTTTGGCTGCAGCTGTGGATTCTCCAGCGTGTTCCCCTGCCGACGACAAGGGGTCAGACATGCAGCTGATCGGCGCTTTGTCTGGCTTTGATGGAGTTTTGTGGCAGCATTAGATAGGGCACTGAGCTGTTGGCCATTTGAAATACATTCCCGAGTTTTGCGAAATGATTTTACCTAGAGGCACACAACTACCTCCCAATCAAGTTTTGAAGCTTTGGTTCTTGCCGCCTGCAGGAGCTTGCGCAAGCAGGTGATTCCAAGTGGGTGGACGCATGGCTGGACTTTCTCTCGAAGGGCCCTTGGAGAAATCCCGCGAGTCTGACAAGCATGTTCTCTTTGTGGCAGATGCTGCCGCAGCAGGCTTGAAGTCAGAGAAGGTTGTGCTCCTGAACGCCCCGGAAGACATGGAGCTCATGTTTTGCGGGCCCATATCCACTGAGCCGTCGCCGAGCTGCAAGCCAGTTGTGGAGTTTGAGAACGGCCTCACGTTTTTCATTCACCCAACAGCTTCACCTCCAGCAGGTGATATCATTGTACCAGCATGGCTCGCAAAGTCAACTCCAAAGGCAGATTTGGCGACGTTGGAACTTGGCTCAATCAGTATTCCAGCCTTTGTGACAGAGTCGGGGGAGGTTTCGCTTGACCATCCTCATGTGACGCACATAGAAGCAAATGAGACTCTGAAGAAAGTTGATGCCAAGCGAGTCGCTGCAGTCGAAACTTTGCGAAAGACCATCAGCAAGTCCAAATCCGTCCAAACAAGGTTGAGGAAAGTGAGAGGCAAGTTGCGGAAGGCCAGGGGCAATTCACATTTGAAGGCAGGGACGCCTGCAGTTGGACATGTTGCTGCAGCTGCCCCTGCTCCAGCTGATGGCATTACCTCGGCAGAGACTGCAGAGACCGTGCCTGACAAGGCTGAGGAATCCCATGAAAATGCCGGTGACGAGCAGCCCCATGTGCCCCATGACAATGAAGGTGCGGGTGGAGGCAGCAATGCCAGCCGTGAGGATGAGGATGATGAGGATTGTTCTTTTGGCAGCAAGTCGGATCAGGAGAGCTTTGATGAGGGAGGCTTGATTCCAATGCTAGCAGCTCCGGTTCCTCTCCCGCCCAGCCTTCAGCAATGGCGGAGGAAGGAGAGTGGGCAGTTGATGTTTGGGCCTTCGCGCGTCCCGGAGGTGGTGGAGATTCAGCTCAAGCTTCACTTGCTCCTTGGCATGCGCCCACAGAACAAGCTTGTGTGTGTAGCAACCTTTTCTTCGCCTTGCCTCCTTTCGCTGTGGGTCTGTCCCTCTCGCTTCTGTCTCCTTCTCTGTCTCTGTGTCTGCGTCTTCCTGACTTTCTCTGTGTGACTCTCTATCCTCTCTTTGTCTTGTTTCTTGGTATTTTTTCTTTGTCTCTTTCTCTCTCTCTCTCTCAACTCTCTCTCTCTCTCTCAACTCTCTCTCTCTCTCTCTGTTTCTCCCGCTTGTTCTCTCCTGCTCTCTCTTTCCCCAATTCTTTCTTTCTCCCTTTCCCTTTCCCCTTCTCCCTCTCCTTCTCATTATCTTTCTCTTTCTTTTTCTCCTCCTTCCTTCCTTCTTTCTTTCTTTGTTTCTTTTTCCTTATTTCTGGCATTGTCTTTTGTTTCTCTCACTCCCCTCTTTTCCTACGCACTTTCTTTGTGGCAAGCCTTTATATATCTAACCCACTGTTTCTCACAGTCTCACAGTTGCCACAGTTGCCATATTTCACGTAAGCCGTCGTTGCTGCTGTTGCAGTGCTTCTGGCATCCATCATGCTTGTAAGCTATCCACAAATATAGATATGATATCATAGATATTGTTGCACATGGCCTGTTGCGAACAATGCGCTTGGCTGTGTTCAGTGCTACGTTCTTTTTTGGCCATTTTACCGTCGGCGATTCTTGAGGTTGAAGGTGCGCCAAGAGCCATCGGAAACGCCCCGGCCATTGTTGCGCCCCATGACTGCAGAGGAAATTGCTGCCCGGGCTTCCCGATCGAAGGTTCAAATTAAAAAAGCTTCAGTCAAATGCGGTGTAGGAGCCGCTCTTGATCTTCGTGAGCAAAAGCTGGAAGCTGAAGGAAAAGAATCAACCATTGGAAGGAAGAAGAAGAAGAAGGACACCAACAGTGTGCAAGAAACGTTGAAAGCAATGAAGGGTGGTCACCACTTGTTGAAATGAGAGGTCAGCCAGACAAGATCCAAGATTCTAGGTTCTGTTGTTCTGTGCTGTTGCCTTTGCCTTCGCTGTCCGAGTTTGTTGCTTTGGGAGTTTAGAACAGTGTTGTGTGTTGTGTGTTGCTGCTTCTGGCTGCAGTGATCAGAATTTGTTGCTTTCTTTGGTCTGGACATTGTTGTGGTTTGAATTGGACGCAGGCAGGCACAGGTCGCATCTCTTCAGATGCCAGCGTGCACTGCATTTACTTCAGGGTGCAAGTGGCTCCAGCATCCCCTGAATGCTGTGATTTTTGAATTCGGTCACCCCAGCCAAATGCAGATATGCACGTTCAATCCTTACTCACAACAGCCAAAAATAAATAGATTAGATGTAGATAGGTAAGCCACGCGGCTCTCTTGGCCAGTCGTCTCTTCCTTTCACAGCGCCATGCATGTAATTAACCCTGCACTGTACCAGTTAAGTTCCCACCTGCCAGGTGAGGGTCTCTAGATGTTGAGAAAGATGCGGCTCCTCTTCTTCTTCTTCTCCTTCTTCTTCTTCTTCTTCCTCTTCTTTTTCTTCTTCTCCCGCCAGCTCGTCGTCACTGTGGGCACCAGCGGAACCAGACCTCATAACAAGTTCAGCGCAGCTCAAGTGCAGCAATCTGTAGCCGGCTCAGTCCTGGGCACGCAAGGACCCGCGCCGAACCCTATGGCGGGCTCCGCAAGCTCCAGATCATTGGGCAGTCTGGACACACATGGACACTATCGCAAGCTCCGGGTCAGGCTGGGCATGCACAGATCCGAACACATGTCAGAGAAAACGTCACATTACCTGCCAGAACGGATGCCAGATAGAATGTCAGAGAACAAATGCGGCCAACAAGATGCCAGAAAGAATGTGAAAATAGATGCATGCCAGACAGAATGCCACACAGGTGCGAGGTAGAGTGCTTGACTGGATGCCAGATAGAATGCCAAGGTGTGCCAAATAGACCGCCAGAAAGAATGTGGGAATATGGCAGACAGAATGCCGGATAGAATGTCAGACTAGATGCCAGATAGACTCCGGGAAAGATGCCAGGTAGAATGCCAGAATAGATACCAGATAGAATGCAAACAGAATACCTGAAAGAATGGCAAAAAGAATGTCAGAGTATATGCCAGCCAGATGGAATGTCACAATAGATGCCAGATAGACTCAAATAGACCACCAGAAAGATTGTGAGAATATTTGCCATAGAAGGATTGAGAAATAGATTGGGATAGAATGTCAGAATAGATGCCAGATAGAATGCCAAGGTTTATGTCAGAAAGACTGCCAGCCTGGGCAGGCACGAGCCCGAACCGTTCGACCCCTATGGCAGGCTCCAGATCGGCCAGAATTTATGCCAGATTGAATGTCAGAGGAGATGCCAAATAGAATGCCCGAAAGAATGTCAGATAGAATGTCTGAGTATATGCTAGAAAGAATCTCAGATAGAATGTTAGAAGTTAGAATGGATATGCAACAAATAGTTCCAGATTTCCATGTGATATGGCAGAAGCGGTGTCGGAGTAATTCGTAAGGGCGGGGATCACTCGAAGCCGACTCGAAGCCAAGTTGTTTTTCAAGTTTGAGCTTGTTAGGTAGCTGAACTATATAGCTATGGATGCTCGAAAGGTTGGGGAGGACAGCACAGATGGCCAGTGTTCAGTGCTGCGAGAGCTGCCTCAGAATTCCTTTTGGACCAGCTCTTCCATTACAGTCTTCTTAGGGTCTATTTTTTTTGAGACGCATTGAGGAAAAGACCGGGTAGTTTGACTAGTGCGCTCAGCGCAACCACATCAATACCTTGTTGCCCGTTAATGTGAGCGGTCCCGAGCCGGAGCAGGCCACACGTGGAACCACAGCTTGGCACTGCTTTTCTTTTGGACGGGTTGCTTTGTGCCCGTATGAATAGAAGAAAATTGAATACAATTACAATACCCATTGCTTCAAGGCATTTATGCATCCAGATACTTCCAGATTCTATTTCTTTGCCGTAACCGCAACCTGCTTATCGCAAGTCCAGCGTGGCTACGAACAGGCGCCTGCATCTTGAGCAAACCCAGATTTCAAGTGGTGCGCTTGCGGATCAAAAAGGCACGGCAAGGTGAATGTTTCAGTTAGGTGGGGTTGTATGCAAGAATCTGGCCAACTTGCTTTGCGCTTGGCGATCTAATTTTCAATCCCGCTTTTTGACGAAAGCAAATGGTATTCACACCTTGCAAATGGGACTGGTATCCATTCCCTTTTTTTCTCATTGGCATCATGTGCCCATGGGCACACAGTCACACACTCCATCAACGCCAAGGCTAGCTTTGGCAGATTTTGGCGCTGTGCCCAAAGGGCGTGAGCGAACGGATCTGAGTGACAAAGTTGCGCAGTTTGGGCCATTCATGTGGGTATTTATTTTGGTCAAGCTGGGGGGGTTGTGAGCCCGTATGAACCTAGGCTTCAAACCCGCGTTTGTTGGCTTCCTAAATGATCAAATGCGGCCAAAAAGTAAATTCTATAGGGCTTGAAATTCAATTCCTGGAGCTTCTCCTGCTTTGCATGGGTCATTAATTACACCAGCGTTGGCCTAGCAGCCGCTGCATTCATTGCGCGTGGTCATGTGGCAATTAGGCCAAGCTGGGGCTTGGTTTTGGTGCCTTGAACACCTTTTTTAGAGGTCTTTAGGCGTGGTGGCCGTCACTTCACCGAAATGGGGGTTGCAGGGCGGCATCGCCCCCACAGTTGGTGATGCACGTCACGAACCCTTTGGGTAAGGGTGAAGCGACATGCCATTCATCAGTGGTTGTATAGTTTATGCACAGAGGATACGTGGAAGGTTACTCCAAGAAGTCATGGAAGATTGGTAGAGAACGCTCTACTTATTGCGGAAGGAATCTTGTATGTGACCATCCTGTGTCACAATATTCTATTGGT